TATATGTAAGGACACTTGATAGATTAAAAATAACACAAGCAATGATTCACAATAGAAATTAAGTCTGACTTCCCTCTGAAGACACCTGCTGTGACCGTCCAGTGGGCTGTAGATCCGGAGTTTTCTTTTGTCTAACATTTATAGTAATAACGGAAGGGTTAGTGATAAGCTCAGTGTGCTTTCTGTCTGACTTATGTGCAAGTTGAATTATTGCCTGCACATCCAGGAATCATAGATGCATCATATATGTCAGACCATGGATGAGTCTTTGTATGCTTTATAAAGATTTCTTCAAATATTTGTGTATCTTCGAAAGGTTTTCTTTCTAAATTCCTAAATAACTGATTAACGTGCTTTAAAAACACCTGAATGGCTTTTACCTACATACATGACTCAATAAATGTTTATAAACGTATGATGTTGTGGAGAATGAGAAAATATTTGCTTTGTAAGAATTAGATATGGATGAGAAACACTGTGTCTTCTTTCTGTGTTCTGGTTAAGTTTCATTGCTCATAATTGAAATGCAGGCATGGCCCCAGGAGATTGCTGTTGTCCTTTCTGAAAAGTAGGGTTACAGATCTGATATGATTGGGCTGTTTTTAATAGACATCTGCGACTTTTATCTGCTCCACAAGCTCAGTCTTTAGTGGATCTTATGAGCCAGTTTGCTCTGGACATGGGAACGTGTGCGGTATTCATGTCTCCAACGCAGTTATCCTGGTAATTTACTGTGGCTGGGAGGAGAGTTTGCCAGCTTCCCATTGCTGCGACAGACACCTGAGAAAGAGCTTAAGGAAGAAAGTTCTGTTTTACTTTATGGTTTTAGAAGGGCCAGGCCATGGTCATATGGCTCCAGTGCTTCTGGGCTGGTACCACGGGGGAGCATCATGGCCAAGAGGGCGTGGAGGGGGAAATCAGTGAATCTTGAAATTGCACACCGCTCTGATGACCACACTTGTTATCTTAGAAAGTTAACCAGGAAAAATGCCTTACTTTTCTTTCTGTGGGGCTATTTTTTTATTTTTCCCTTAAGGTGTTTTATTTTGAGTACTCTGAATTTTTTTGACCATAGGGAGTTTAGAGAAAATTATGTCTCATTATTACGGAGCATCCTCTGATTATTGGTGTCTGGTGTGTTAGAATTACTTTGCTCACTCTTCTGCTAGTTGTCCCCTTGCTCAATTTTTTTCTCAAAAGTTTAATTTTCTTTTTTCTGTGTTGTTTCTGTAAACCTTGGCATATTCTTTTGTTATAACTTAGGGTTCCCGTGAGTGTCTCTTGCGTTGAATGGAAGTGAGATGGCGCCTTTCACAGTGCTTTGGCCATGTGGATGTCCGAGTTTCACTTATGGTTCTTTCTCTGCTGTATAAGAATGAATCCGGATTCAGGGATTCTGACCATGAGAACAGCTAATGCTTTGTGTGGAACATGAGTAAATAAATGTTGTCTTACATAAATATGACACCTGATCTTTTCAATCATGGGCCAGTTAAATGCGAGTTCAGTCCCTTGTGGTGCTGAGTTTTTAGTCATTATTTGCATCAAAGCAGTCCAGTGGTGCGTTGTACTTATGACACATCGTGGCTATGAAACTAACTCTTGAGTTTACTTTATAAGCACATTTTATATCAGAAACAGGTAATATTAAAAACAGGTAGGAATTTGCATGTGTCAGTGTGATTAGATCATAGTGATTCCAAGCACTGAACCAGTTTCTAGAGACCCTAGAGAAACATTGTGAATCGGTGTGATAATGTGATGGGTAGAATTGGATCCAGGAAAGGCAGGGGCTAAGTGGGAGCCACCAAAGGCAAGGTGGGGACTTTACTGTAAGGAACAGCAGAAGCAGGGTATTGATTAGAACGTCTGGATGGTGTTGGCTAATTAATTATGGTATTTCCAGAAATGAGGAAGATAAGAAGCCTACTAAATTTTTACTGGATTTTTGTATAAAATTTCAAGGTAAGGGAACAAAAATCTACCACAGATTTTAACAACAACAATGACAACAAAATAACAACCACTGGACAATTCCTTCTGGCCTTCTGGAGGGGCCCACGGAGGTCAGGTGATCAGGGGAATCTTAGCCAAGACCTTACTCGCAGTGGGTCCAGTGGCTCCCTGACTCCCTGACCCCATCCTGTGGTCATCTCCCCAGTTTGGGATGCATAATGCGGATAGATGTACTCAATACTTGGGGAGTCCCTGATCAGTAGTGTAGGTGTTACTGTGGTACTAAAAGCCACATGGAAGCCACTCCAGTTTCCCCTACTGGAAAAATAGTAGATCAGAGCAACGTTGTATTCCTGTAGGGATCACAGAGACGACTGCCACCCTGGGGACTGGAACGATGCAGGGGTGGTGATCCTACCACATTGCCATTTCGCTGTCCTCCTCTTTGGGCTGAGTAGATGGTGGATGGGTGGGATCGCTACAGGGGGGTTACTGTAGGCCTAATCAAGTGGTGACTCCAACTGTAGCTGTTGGTCCAGATGTGGTTTTGATCAGATTACCGCATCTCTTAGTACCCAGCACACAGCTACTGATTGGGCAAATATTTTTCATTTATTCCTGTGCACGAGGCCCACTAGAAGGAATTCCCTTTCAGGTGGTAAGGCCGGCGATGCACCTTCAGTGTCTCATGTTAGGGTTTACTGGCTCTCCAGCCTTGTGTCACAGCTTGGTTCACAGGGACCTTGGTCCTCTTTCTCTTCCACAAGGCATCGCATGGTCCAGTGCATTGATGACGTCATTTGGCTGGACAACATGACCAAGAAGGGGAGCTGTTCTACTTGTTGGTAAAGAGTTGCGTGTCATAGGATGGGACATAACCCAGCTGAAAGGCAGGGTCTTTCTACCTCAGGGCAATGTCTATGAGTCCAGTGGGACAGGGCAGGCAGAGACACTGCTTCCAAGTGAAGCTAGGATGTTGCATCTGGGTCATTGGACAACCAAGAAAGAGGCACAATGCTCATGTTGGAGGCAACACATTCCTCTCTTAGGTGTCTCACTCTGGCCCATTTACCCAGTGACTCGCAAAGCTACTGCTTTTCCTTAGGTCCCAGATCCAGAGAAGGCGGTGCAGCAGGGCCAGGCTGCTGTGCAGTCTGCTCTGCCCCCAGGGACGCAGTGGGACTGGAGGTGTCAGCAGCAGGCAGGGATGCTGCTTAGAGTCTCTGGTAGCTCTCTTGGTGGATTGTAGCAGAGGCCTTTGGGATTTTGGAGCAAGGCTCTGCTGTTATCTCCAGACAACTACTCTCCTTGTGAAAAACAGCCCTTTGGCCTGAGAGTGGGCCAGTTGGTAGGAACTGAATGCTTGACCATGGGACACCTGGTTACCATGCGACCTGAGCTGCCCATCATGGCCTGGGTGCCATTTGATCCACCAAGTCATAAGGTTGGACATACACAGCAATGGCCCTTCATTAAATGGAAATGGTGTAGATGTGATAGAGCCACAGTAGGTCCAGAGGCCACAGGTGAGTTGTGAAGTTGTTCAGATGCTCACGGCTCCTACGCCTGCCATATTGCCTTCTGCTTCCCAGCATGCACTTGTGGCCTGGGAGGTGCACCCTGTGATCAGCTGTCAGAAGAAGAGAGGGTGAGGCCCTGCGTGTTGTGTGGGCACCATCCGCAGTGGACAGCCACAGCGTTACAGCCCTTCCCAGGACATCCCTGCAGGACAGTGGCGATGGAAATCTTCACAGGGGCAGCTCTTCAGGCAGTGACCTGGTTGTGTATTTTTCTTGGAAGAAAAAAACGTTCAAATGTGTTATTGGACACTGATTCATGGGCTGTAGCCACAGTCTGGCCACATGTCAGGGACTTGGAAGGAGGTGATTGGAAGATTAGCGGCAGACGTTTGGGGAAAGGAACGTAGAGAAACCCCTGTCCTCTAAGTTTCAGATGTTGGATGTTTTGTTCTGGTGATGAAAATGTAACACACAGGTGACATCAGAGACAGGGGAATCTGCTCATTTTGGTGGGGAGAGAGCGTGGTGATTGCCAGTACTGAAAGGGTTTCTAGACATGCTAGATGGAAGTTGCAGTGAGAGTTACAAAGAAGCAAAATCCCGCGGAAAAGTGATAGAGTGAGAAACAAATGCCTCAGGATGCAGCTTGTTTGCTGTGGTCTCTTTTCTTCCTAAGAGTAAGTTGTAAAATAACCAAACCCGCCCTTCCTACTTCCTCATCACGTGGTGCGCTTTCCCGGGCATGAGTTCTGAGACCTGTGTGTCAATAATTGTACATTCTTTGCAGGAAAACCGTGATTTCTATCCTGAAATAAAATGTCTCAGAATCATAGACAGCTCGGGAAGGGGCCGTAGACTAGGTCATCCCACAGCCTGGTTTGATTACAAGGGCAGGACTGACCCCTCAGGCTCCTGACAATATAATCTAATATTTTAAATTGAGTAGCGTTCACAGGAAAGCTTATCTCTAGAATATGAATACCTCATCGTGAGACTTCAAGGAATATGACCACTCTTCAATGTGAATATCACCTTATCTGCAAATCAATAGTTGGTGTTCATTTTGGGAAATGTGCTATATTGGAAGTAAACATGTCATTCTCTGAGTATAATCCTTCATCTTGGTGGCATCCTATTAAAGGCAAAGGCTTTGGAAAATAAGGGGACTTTAAGCATGAACTTTGAGCATGAAAACAGTGTGAAGATAGTGACATTGATGGTGCTGGGGTAGTAGTTATGCATTTAATCAGCACTGAGAGAATTTTGGTTCAGTTGAAAATTCAGTCTTCTCCTGTGATAGTTGTCTCGGTATGTACGGAATAAGGGAAGACTGATGTTTCTTTATGGTTACATTTAACCATGTAAGGTGGCATGTCCAGAGCAATCAGTCTTTCTATAACATGACTGAGCAGGGCATCTTTCTGTTGCAGAGGACTGCAATTTCAGGCCGTGTTTATAACCCTTGTATGTTTCTTACAGATAACTTGTATACATGTGTTTTCCTATGTGTGTGTTTTCTTTCAGGTTTACTAAAATCTGGTGCATGTCTCTGAAGAAAAATGATTTGTCAGACATTCTGTGTGGCTTTGTTATACTGTGGTAAGTTATTTGGTATTTATATATGAAGAGGAGATTTTGCTGTTAGAGATGCTATTTTCTTACTGCCTAACAGAATAGTCTTTTCCAGCTTGGAATTTCATACATGCTTGTGGTGAAAAATGCAGCCAATGAAAGTATAAATGCAAAAATCCCAATCTCCTAAAAATGACTCAGTAGTGTATTTTCCCAGAATTTTCACACACACACACACACACACACCCCACATCTGCAAACATAGTTGCATGGCATTTTATACCATAGTTGCAAACATTTTGTTTTGCCAGTTGCTTTTCCCACTTGTTTTCACTTTCTCATGACAGTTTGCCTTACCAGTATTTATCAATGAACTTATCTGTGTAGTAGTCAAATGCAGCGCATCCCATGAATGCACCTGACCAACTCTTGAACGTTAGGCGTCCGGTTCTTTAAAAGATAATGCTGCATTGGAATCCATACACCTGCAAGGTAGTTTAGCTCCTGAGGAGGAATTTCTGTCCTGAAGAGGGTGCGCATCTCAAACCCCAATCCTGGGGAATCTGCTTACAAGAGTCTGCATCCTTTGCTGCTCCGATAGACACAGGTGAGGGTGTGCGGCCCTTGCATTTCCACAAAGACGCAGTCACTATTCTCTTACTGGTTCTCTTTCCATTCCTTACTCTTTGGCATTTCATTTCATTTATTTGACATTTGTGAGGCTGAGCAGTTTCCTGACCATTTATGTATTTGATGTGATTTTCTAGTTCATATACCTTCCCCTGCTGTTGGCTTTTATTGGTCTCAGGTGAATTTTAAGAATTTCTAAAATGTGATAGATATTTCATCCTGTAGTAGGGCTTTCCGGAGAAGGAGAACCTGTGTGTGTGTGTGTGTGTGTGTGTGTGTGTGTGTGTGTGTGTGTGTGTGAAAGAGAGAGTGAACAAGAGAGATCGGGAGAAAGACTGAGAGTGAGAGAGAGAGGGAGAGAGATTGATTTATTTCAGGAACTGACGTGGGTAATTATGAAGGCTGAAAGTCTGAGATCCGCAGTCAGGAGGCTGGAGCCCGGGCAGTGGTTCTGGTCCGAGAGGGCTGGGTCCCTCCAAATCCAGAGGGCTGAGAGCCAGGGCAGCGGAGGATGCAGGCTTCTCCTGGAGACCTGGAAGAGCTGACGTCTCACTGGTGGTCCGGGGCTGGGGGAGGCCACTGCCTCCGGCTCAGGAGTGCCATGGGTGACTGCATAGGGCGGTCCACACTGCGACGGGGCTCAGATGTTCTCACTGGGACGGTCCTCGAGGACATACATGGAAGGGAGATTGACCAAAAACACCTGGGGGCGCTGTCAGGCTGCCACACACAGTGCATCCTTTTAAGTCTGAAAAACTTGCATTCTTTACAGGTATTTTCTTACTGCCCATGATTTGCTTTTTTAAAGCTTTATTTTGTTTTACAGTACAGACAATTAAGGCCTCTGTGTGAATACAGAGATGTATGATAGGATGGCACTTAAATAGATCAGCTTTCCTTAGCACATGTGCCACTATTAAATTATAAACATATAGCAGGCGACAGTCAAATGTCTGCTTTATCGCTAAGCAGCTTACTTCGTGATAATGTTGAGAATAAATGACTGTGCCCCGAAGCGATGGGTTTAACTTTCAGAGCAGTGATGATGATTTCAATGCCATTTGTCATGGTCCCTCTGGAAAGTGATGGCAAGTGTCATTGTCAGGGGACTTTGTCAAGGCATGGAGTTAGCATTGGAGAACACCACCTTTTTTTTTTTTTTTTTTTTTTTTTTTTATCAGAATGCTTTAAGAAGTTAAATGGCCGGGCATCATGGTGTATGCCCGTGGTCCCAGTGCTCTGGGAGGCTGAGGCAGGAGGATTGCAAATTACAACTCAGCCTGGGCAACTTAGTGAAACCCTGTATCAAGAGTAAATACAATTTTACAGAGCTCTAAGGACACGGGTTAGTGTGAAGGCCCTGGGTTCAATCCCTGATACCAAAACCAGCCAAGCAGCTGAAACAAACAAGAAACAAAGATAGAGAAAGAAATTAAATACATACCAGCCCCTCCTCCCAGCCCTGCAGGACTGGCTGGGAGAGGAAGCTTCACATGAATCTTGGAATATCTTGTCTTTCCAACTGCTGCAAACTATAGGAATCTTACATTTCAAGTCAGCCACACCTTGTCAATAACGTTTTTTTTTTTTTTTTTTTTTTTTTTTTTTTGTCTTTTTGAGACAGGGTCTCTATGCAGTTCAGGCTGGCCTTGAACTCACTTTGTAGCCCAGGCTGGTCTCGAACTTGCAAAGATCCTCCTGCCTCAGCCTCCTGAGTGCAGGGATTACAAATGTGTGCCGCCATGTCTGGCTTCAATAACCTTTTTTTTTTTTTTTTTTTTTAAAATAGGGAAACCTATTTTTCATTGATTTGTTTTTTCTGCTTCCAGTTCTTTTTCTTTAACTCTTTATTAAAAAAAGTTGACGTATGAAGTTATGTGTATTTATCCTGTAAAACAGGATGCTTTGAGGTCAGCACATGTCACGCAGTGGTTCTGTCTGGCTGATCACTGAGTGCGCTGCCTGGTACAGAGAGCACTTTTGTGGTGAGAACTCTTAGCACTCTCAATGCGACCCTTCAACTAGGGTCCTGGGACTTACTCTGTCTTGTTCGCTTCAGTGTCGAGCTCCCTGGCTTCTGCCCCGTGAATCCTCCCCAGCCTCTGGTAGTCCTCTTCGCCTGTTGACTTCTGTGAGATCCACTCTGCAGATTGCACAGGTATGCGAGGCCATGGGGTGTCTGTTTCTCTGTGCCCCATTTGTTTCCCTTATCGTCCTGTCCTTCAGTTCATCCATGTGGCTGCAAATGAAACTTTTTCTCCTTTTTATGATTGGATGATGTTAAATTTCTTCATGGACCCGTTGGTTGCTCAGGATCATGTCATTTAATCTCCATGTGTCTGTGAATTTTCTGAAGTTCTTCCTGAAGCTGGGCATGGTGATAGACACCTGTAAATCCGGTACTCTGGAGGCTGAGGCAGGAGGATAGGAGGATCACTGTGAGGTCAAGGCCAGCCGAGGCTACCTAGTGAGACTCTGTCTCAAGAAGACAAAAAATTTTTTTTCCTGTTGTTCATTTAAGGTTTTATTTCATTGCTGTCAGAATTTCAGTCTTAACTTCATTAAACTTTTTTGTGCCCAACACACAATCTTGCCTAGACAGTGTTCCCTATACAGGGAAAAAAAAATTTTGTATTCTGCAGTTGTTGAATGGAATGTTCTGTGCTTCCCTACGAGGCTCCTTTGGTCTGGAATGTGGTTTAAGTCTGTGGTTTCCTTGCTGATTTTCCTCCTCAGCTGTGCTATCTAATGCTAAAACTCAGGTACCGAGGCCTCCTCTTATCATTTCCCACCGTCTGTCTCTCCCTTCAGTACACTGAAAGTTTGCTTTGTATGTTAGGCTCTCTGATGTTGGTTGCAAATCTGTCTGCAATTATTATACCGCCCGCTATGTTAAATAGTTTTTCTATCTTTACAGTTTTGACTTAGGGCCTATTTTATCTGACCTAAGTGTAGCTGTTTCTAGTCTCTCTTGGTTGCCATTTACATGCAGTGTATTTTCCATTCCTTCACAGTCAATTTGTGTGTGTTATTATAGGAAAAGTAAGTCAGTCTCCTCCTTTTTTCCTCTCCTGACTCTCTCTCCTGCCCCAGTACTGAATCTCTTGTAGGGATTATATTGTTTAACCTTATTTTATTTTAATTCATTGACCAACTAACTGTCTACTGGCAAACTCAGTCCATTTGCATTCAAAGTAGTTATTATGTGTGCTGCTGAAGCCAGCACTCAAAGTAATTCATTTTTTTGTCTTGTTGAGACAGGGTCTTGCTATGCAGTTCAGGCTGGCCTTAGGCTCATTTTGTAGCCCAGGATGGTCTTGAATTTACAGTGATCCTCCTAACTCAGCCTCCTGAGTGCTAGTATTACAGGAATGTGCCTGGCTCAAAGCAATTATTGATAGGTACCAATTTTTTGTCTATTGTTTGGTTCTTTACATTATCACTTCCTCTTACTGTCTTTCTATATGATCAGATGATTTTTCTTTAGGCATATTTTGATTCCTTGATTTTTATTTTCAGTGTATCTGTTATGGACTTTTTTTCTTGAGGTTACCTTGATGATTATAAAAAGTATCTTAGAGTTATAATAAGTTCTCTTAAGCCAAAAGACCTTAATTTTGATTTTAAAAAAACCTGCACTTTTATTTTATCTGTCCCTGCATTTAAAATTTTTAATTTAACAATTTATATTTTTCTTGTTACACATCTCTTATTGAGGTGGTTAGTTTTTTTTTTTTTTTTTTTAATTTTTATTTAAGGAGAAAAGAAAAGAAAAAAAAAACAGTGAAGGGTACAAGTTATACAGATTTACAGAAGAAAAAAATGCGCAGTAGGAAATCACTAGTTAATAGATTACATATTGCCATCTTAGAAATAATTGTTCAAGTCACAGAATTAAAGTTTGTAGAGTGGACATTCCAGCAATGATACTGCAAACAGTTCTGTTCAATGATCCATTAGAACTCTGTGATATCATTTTCTGTCTTATACATTTAAATATACATGCAGTTATATAGTTTAGAGCATTTTCTTTTCCTCTCTTTTGTACAGTGACTATTACACATTTTGGGTTTCATTGCTCCCACTGTTCTTATTGCTTTTTTGGAAGAGAGTAAAACCAAATGTGACATAACAGAACAGAATCGGTCAAGTCAAAAGGGTGGATATAATAGATAATATAAAAACATAATACAAGGTGATCAACAATGGTTACCCTAATGCCTCCCGCTATTTCTAATAGAATTGCCTATATTATTAGTTGTAATACTATTGAACAAAACCGTAAAGGATAAAACCGACAAAACCAAAACATTGGAGATATTGTAGGTCTTCAAAAGTAGATAGAAGTCAACGAGAATGGGCGTTATAATGAATCTCATTATCTTCTCAGCTGATGC